TTCCCGGTACCGGAGAAAAACCAAAAAAAAAAAAAAAAAAAGGAAAATGAATGCCCAGGCATAGGCTGAAATGGGAGAAGGCGCAAAGGGCACAAAAAGAGAACAACTGGACAGTGAAGGAAACTGGTACAGAGCCTGCCATGTGAGGGGAGGCAAATCACGACGTGGTCTGACCTGGGTGGACGGTCACAGGAAGAAGGCACAGGGTGCTTCTTGTTACTGTTGAGAAGGACAAGGTGTGCCTTACCCACAGAGCCCCGGCAGGCGTCTCCTCTTGTCAAAGCTCAGTCACCCTCTGGGAGCTGTGGACTCCCAAACACACATCTCCGACCCAGACCTGTCCTTTGCGCCGATTTCTCCTGAAGACCTTCCTTTGAGGGTCTGAAGGATGTCCTTATTTGGAGACAGCTGCAGTCCTCCCTGGTTGTGCATTGTAGCAAACTACCTAGGAGCGTCAAGCAACCATCACTGTATTCAGCGCTTCTATCAACTTCAAAATATTTCTAACTTGTCCTTTTCTTTCCATCCCCAGCATGAGCACCCTAACCTAAGTCTCTATCCGTCTCACTCAGCCTGGAAGAAGAGTGCGTGTCTGGCCCAGCCCTCCACTCTTGTTTCCCTCAAGGCCATCATCTCCACTTCAGCGATTTAAAAGCCAGGGCTTCCTTGTGGCCCTGGGCAGTTGTGACGTGTGGAAGGGTGCCCGCCATGCTGTTTATTCCCCCATTGCTTGGCATTTACCTCCCAGTGCCACGTTCCCACCTCACCAACTGCCTTTAACTGTGAGCTCTCCCTCACCTGCATCCCTACCTCTACATCTGCTTTCAGAAAAGTTTGTTGTCATCTTTTTAAGATAAAAATGTACATATATTAGAACTCAGGAATTACGTTCCTAAGTGGGAACTCTCAGAAATGCATACTATGTTCATCAAAGCCCACAGAAAAGAATGTTCATAGCGGCATTGTTCATAAAAAGGCAAACATGTAACACAGCATATTTGTATAAATGCATTCATGGCTTGTTTCTGTAATGGACTACTATACAGTTGTGAAAATAATCACACAAAATGACCACAGATGACTCTCACAAATATGTCTCCATAACTACAGGGTGGGAGAGAATGATTCAGTTTCTGTAAATTACATAAAAGTTAAATTTTATCTAGGTGTTGGAAATAAAGATGGTGGCCAACTTTGAGAAGGGCAGCAAGGGGCTGTTAGTGGAAGGTGTCAGTCAGGTTTCTAGAGTTTTCGTCATCTGCCTCTTGACCAAAGCAACATTGCTTACTCTGTGATCATATATTGGCCATGATCTTTATTTTTGAAAAAGCAAAAATTACCTTCCAAAGGAGCAGAGCAGCAGGTAAAGGGGCAGGGGAAACCCAACCAGCACCAACAGAGGAGAGGACAGAACTGAGTGATTGGAAGGAGAGAGGGATGCAGAAGAGGCTTCATCCCCAGCCGTGGAGAGCAGGAGCTGCTAAGGGCAGTGAGGAGCCATGCGGGTGAGGTGAATGTTCTCTCTTCCTACGATCTGGCCTAGAAGCAGAGATGCAGAGCCAAGGCGCCAAAGTGAATCCCTGCTCTGTGCTTCTGACGGATATAAAGAAGGAAAAGCCGTTTTACTCAGAAAATGAGCAACGAGCCCACGCCAGGGCTAGAAGCAACCAGGCGTCTGACATAATAGGTATGGTCACAAGGATTTGTCGCTCTTCCCAGGCAGCCAGCTCCCAGGTAAGGGCCTCCGGTTTGTCCTCAGCATCCACCAAGGCCTGGAGCAGAGACAGGAAGGGGAGGACACCAGCGCCTGTGTAAGTGGGTTTGACCGTGGAGCTAAGCAGAAGAAGGGCCTTGGAAATTGAGGGAATTCCAGGAGGCAGAAATGGGGGGAATAAAAATGACTGATGTCAGAAAGCCTCATTCAAAAGGAAGAGAAGAAGGCAACAGGCAAGAGTTCAGGAAAAGAGAGGGGAAGTCAAGGAGCCAGGGTGTTCACGAGGGGAGAGGAGGAAATCACACCAAGAGTAGAAGGCAGAAAGAGAAACTGTCACCAGACACGCAGGTGGAAGCAGGAGTGGTGGGCGGGGCCCAGAACGTGACGTGAAGACAGAGGGAAAGCGACAGGCCACGTGACAGCGGGGAAAAGAAGAAGTAGAACGAGGGAGGAGGGGCGGAGCTGCCCGAACAGTCTGATCAGTGTTGAGACGAGGCCCTGTCCCAGTCTTCGCACTCAAGGGCGGTCCCGGGCTTGGGTGGGCCTAGCTTCCTAGTGCTGTCGCTGTGAGACTCTGTGCCGCACGGGCTCCTTGGTCAGCCCTGAGACTCTTACAGGGTTTCGCTCCTTTGTGCAGTCATCAGCAGTGACGACTCTGGAGAGCTCAGCGATGAAGACAAGGCCCCCGGAGCCTCCACCTCGGCCCTGAGAAGCGACAGTGGTAAGGAAGGCCGGGAGAGCAAGGCACGGGCTGTGGGCGTGAGCCCAGAGCTACAGCTTGGTGTGCATTTATTCTGTACGATGCTTCCACTTTATCCCAGAGCCCTGTCTCTATGTTGACTTTATTTAAACATTTCAGGAAATGCAGGGAGATGAGAAATGATCACACATTTATTTTGAGCGGTTAGTGTTACTGATAGAGTCTTCTTACATAGGCACTATGCACAATTGGTATAGGCAATTGGTACAGGCTAGCAAAATAATGACTTTTTTTTTACACTAATTAGTTGCCGTGCTGTGAGGTGACAGACTTATCCAGTGGTTTCTGTGGAGAACAGAAAGCTAAACATTCCTTTATTGGAAGATCATAATGTTATCTAGCCACAAACTTGAGCTAGTCAAAAGGAAAGTCACCCAACTATCTAACATTAGGAGAAATAAAGATTTGAGATAAAGTATTCTGAAACCCAAAGTACTGTTTTTGACAAAATTTGTCAGCAAGTAATGGCATGTGGAATGATTTTTTAAAAGACCTTTGCAGATAATTTATTATTCTTTTCTTTACAAACCCTTAAAGGGTAAGCAGGGTAGACACTGTGGCTTCCATGAGAAAACACAATCACAGAACTATTTCAAAGTCTTCTCCATAGTCTCATGAACAGTTAAAGGAAAGAACAAGCCTAGCCTCCTGGATTCTGAGTCCTTTGCTTTGTAAAAATGTGAAATAGAAGTGATTACCGAAATGTGTTTTCTCAGTCCTCACTGCAGCCTGAGTTGTTATAAAATTTAAAACTCTGTAATGCACAAATCGGTGGTTTGTTTTCCCTTCTTACTTTCTAGATCCAGAGGATTTTAGAGACATTCCTCTTTAGGGAAAGCACACAAAGAAAGACCTCAGAGCAAATGAAATTGTTACCTGCTCTAGAGGTTACAGAAGAACAATGTGTTACCTAAAGCGTTCATTCCAGTTGCTTACGATGTTGTTTAAAGGAAAATGTACATTTGCTTCCATTTTTAGATACTGCATACTTTTATCGTAGTGTGAGCAAAGAGCTCCATAAAATTGTCCCCAGGTATGTCTACGGCTCAAACACAAACGAGTGTTCTCCTCCTTGTAAAGACTCAAGGAGGCATTAGGCTGGAAAGGACAGAAGTGGCTCATCATCTTTAACGCAGGAGTCCAAGGTCATATGCATGAAGAACAGAGGCAGAGGTAGTGGGAGGGGATGGACATGTGGAGCCAGAAGTAGAAAAGGTATGAAGTAAAGGGGACAAGAACAGGGAGAAAGGGCCAAGCACCTCAAAGATGTCCCTTGCCAGGAAACTGTCTTCACCTCTGAGGGCAAAGATGGAGTTTCACTAACCAACTGGGCAGGTGACTTAGCAAGGCTTGGGTTTTTCGAGGTTTTTTCAAGTTTTCCTGTAAGATTTCTTACTGAATTGGTTCCGTGATTATACTTGAAACCTCTAAAAAATTCTACCTTTATTTTTAAAAATGTTTTACTAGTGTATGTTTGTAATATGTGGTGATTATGATCAGCTTGGGGACTGACATGCATACCTATGGCATCCCGAGTCTCCGTATTCCCCTCCTGGCCTGCTCTCCCCTCTTCTTCCTCTCCCCAGCCCCTGCCATCTCCGCAGGGCCCACCTCCCTGCGTCTTAACATGGCTCATGTGTTTTGCTTCCTAAACCACTTGTATTTTAAGGCTCTGCCTTCTTTTCTTCAGAGATCAGTCACTATGGCCCATTAGAATCAACTGAAGAAAAAGAGACCCAGGAAGCCACCTGCTCCGATCAGATTAAACCAAGTAAGCATACCAGAGTTGCAACTCCTTGGCTAAGAGTACCAGAGTCCCAATCCAGACCTTCTGAGCATTTCTGTACACTTTGATTCTAGAGCTTCTAGGGAACTGTTTTCTGCATTTAACCTCCCTATGCCGTTGGGAAGTGAAAGGTGTTAAGAAAGAATTATAAACTGTTGTTTAACTAGATAAGTCCAACTGCTTGACACAATGAACACAGCTAACAAATATGCTAACAAAATTAGTCGTTTTTTACTACACAATCTATTAATACTAAAGGGTTGAAATAATATACTTATTCTCTATCTCCCCTTTACATTTTATAGATCATAGTAAATACAGTAGTCCTCTATGTATTAATATTCTCTTTAGTCACTTGTTTAAAGTCTTCAAAGCATAATTTGTGTTGTTATTTAATTTTTGATTGGATAGAAATGACTTCAGATCAAGTAAATTCAAAGCCAAATTACAGTTGCATGGCTGACATGCACTGTGACTTTTATAGGACTTTTGTAAATAAACCTTCATATTGTTGTTGTGAAAACCTCAACAGGGAAATATGGTAATTAGGTGATCCCAACCTTATAGATGAAAAAACTGGAGAGAGTAATGATTAAGAGTCATTTACAAATTTGCACAAAGAATTTTTTTAAAAAGCCAGGTGGGATCCCAACTTTATGACCTTGGGCCTTTAGAATGAAACTGAATGGAAGGAAAGAGAGGAAAATGTTCTTCCGAACTTCGTTGGGATTGCAAGCCCGTTTGCTGTGGAGTTGTCACAGCACTTGTCATTGGTGTGCAAATAATGTTTTTCTCCCGTTCTTCTTTACAGAGCCCAAGAATTTCAGAGGTTCATCTACATTCAGAAAAAACCTTCTGAAAAGAGGTAAGCGAAAAACATGGTGATCCATGAACCATACTTCCTACAAGAGACTAATTCTAATCTTTGTTACAACCTTCAAACTAAAATACAAATTTGGTTTAATTTGAGATGATTTGTATGTTAATTTTTTATTAGGTAGGATAGACTACTGTAGAATATGACCCCAAAGAAGTCAATGACTCAAATATAATAAATTTTTTCAAATTTTTTAAATAGAACTTTAAGTTTTTTCTTGATGTTTACATGGGAGGAGTAGCCCTCATAGTCAAGTAGAAGATCCATCTTTTTCAATTCCAAATTTCTGTGTCTATTCTGAGAAAGAAAAAAAGCTATAAATACACACACATACTGATACAAGATCAACTACAGATCCTTAAAGAGACAAATTTAAAAAAAAGAAGATAACTCAGTGTAAAATGACAGGGAGCCGAGACAAAACCAAGATGCCCACTGGGGGTGAAATCCCAGCCTCAAGCTCCAGTGGCAGTGGAGGATGAAACATGAACCTCTGGGCCAGATTTGAGAGGCAGATCACAGAGCTCTGAGGGAGGGACACTCCTGCCCTGGCATGTCTGGCTTTCTAAGTTTTCTCCAGTTCTCTTTGTATAAGGTGTTCTTCCCCGTCTTGGTTTCCTTGTTCCACACTGAGAGTCCCCGGGGACATCTGGTCCTTTCTGCAGGGAGAGAACATGTCTATGACTCTTCAGAATCCAGCGAGGAAGAGACACTCCCCAAAATCAGGTTCTGGAGCTCAGGAAGGAGAAGTGGGCTGAGTACAACAGGTAAGGCCTGTCCTCCCCGGCTCCTGGATGTCAGGAGTCCAAGTTCAAAGCTCAAGTTCCCCACTTCAACTCACTCTGAGTAACACACCGCAGCATGATCCAGGCAATCTTGGGAGCCCACTCTCTGATTTACTTCCTGTAGATGTTTTGTTTTGTTTTGTTTTTTGAGACAGGGTCTCACTATGTAGTTCAGACTGGCCTTGAACTCACTGTGTAGCATAGGCTGGCCTCAAATTTGCAGTGATGCTCCTCCTCAACCTCCCAAGTGCTGGGATTACAGGCAAGCACCACCATGCCCGGCCTTCTAGATACTGTGAAAATTACAGACAATTTATAAATCCAGGCTTAACAAGTTGACTGCAGCTAAATGACAATGCACCTTTTATCACATACCATCAGACCTGTTTACCTCAAAGTATTGGACTGACAGCACGCTTTCCACTTCTACCCATCTTCTACTTTGTAGAGAAGAGAAAGGCATAGTTTGCTATTGCTTGGTTTTGTTACAGACTTGTTTAAAAGGGAAATGACCTTGGCTATTCTGTAATTATTGACATAAAGAAAGCCTTTTGGGTACTACCATTAAACTCACAGCTTTTGACAGCTGATACCCAGCATGACATTAGCCAAACAGTGATAACTGAAAATGTTGTTTGCATATATGGTCTCTGTTTATCTTTAGAACAACAAAAAGGCAAAATAAGGGTTGCTCCCCCCTGTTGCATAGGTGGGGAAACTTCAGCACTTAAACCATTAAGGCTTTTCTACACGTTCCATGTAGGAAGTTACTGGAAGAAGCAGAACTAACACCTTGGACTCAACAAATGTCTCTGATCCTTTGTTCTAACCCTTGAAGCCAGGTGTATTTTAGAATTCAAAAATGGTTTATTATTTTAGAAGGACAATGTGCTCTGTAATCTATATTATAAAACACCTCCAATTGAATCTAGGGTCAGAATCCCATTCTCAAATATACTATCTTAATGTTTCCGGGAAAATTACATGATATTCATGCCAAATGTGGTTATATTTTACAGGGACTCTTGGCAGGGCAAGTCTAGATGCACTGCTAAGTTAGTTGCAACCTACAAATGCATATTGGTTTCAAAATGCATTTGATTTTGCAACTAGGGCTAAATAATTTTGGGTCTCTGCCCCATTTGGTGGAATCTGTGTTAAAATGAAAAGAGAATTAATCATCATACATCTTCATAGTTCAAATCCTGTCCACAGTGTACACACTCATAAAATGTATCACCCTTGTAGATATAGATCACTGGTTTTATCTTTCTTTTCTTTCCATGTGGAGGACACACAACTGAAAAAGACCAATTAAAAACTCTGCATGTAACAAATATTCCCTTTTGCTACAAAAGCTTCATTCAGAAAATTCTTAATACTCTTTGAAATAACAAACTAAATTTGTTAGGAGTTTTAGATGATTCACATTATACACTTTGAGTTAGTTGGGCTGGACTAATTGGTAAAACGTGCACTTGAAAGTGTGCAGTGGCACAAGCACAATGCAAGTTTATTTTTCACGCATATAAAGAGGATAAAATAGTCCCCAAGTGGAGACATGCTCTGCTCAGCACAGTCATTTAGGGCTCAGCCGGTGAGGGGCTGATACATTTTAAATGTGACTTCCATGTCCCCCTGGATAAAAAAGAAGCAGAAGTGGAAGTGTGTACAAACAAGTGGAAAAGGTAAGAAATACAAGAAATGGTGACAGAAGGGAGAGTGTTTCATGGCAAAGTTGTTCTGGCCCCAGCCTCGGGGATGGTTCCTGGAGCAACTGGTGGGAGAATACTTCTAACCCTCTGACACCCTTCTCTAATTTCTTTTTAAACAATTCTCTGCTGGGCTGGCTCCTAAGACCCAGACTAAGAGCATGAAGCATTTTCCTTCTTCCTCCAGGGCTCAGCAACAGCGACTCTGCCAAACTGAATCACAGAGAAGAGCATGCAGAAGCCCTAAGAAGTGGATCAGGTAAAGAAGATTAGGATGCCAAGCCTTGGCCTGCAGGATGTCAGGAATCTGAATTAAAAGCAACCGTGTTTCTGAGCACCTTGCCTGCCTTGCATCCAGTTAATCCTGGGAACTCCTGATAACTTTAGAAAATGGAAGGAGGCAGAAAATTATCATAAACTCATGTTACCAAGATGAGGCTTACTCACTAAATGTATGTAATTATATATTGCTATTACAGAAGAAATAAATGACAAAATGATGTTATCTTTTTTAAATACCCACTGTCCTGCCTAGTAACAAAAGACCTTAGCTTTCTATTAATACAATGGTCATCTGTCACTTGTAATTGTAGAAACCAGAGAAGACAATTGGGCCTCCTATGTAACTGTAGACAAAAATAAAAACTTTGGATCAATCACTTGCAAATGTTAGTATAGTTTTTGACAAATGTCCTTCACAGTGTCACTGGATTATACTGCATGACTTCAGTGTCCTTTGACAAATATTCTGTCATCACAAAACCCTTAAGACTTAAGCAGGCCAACTCTTGCAATCCTTGTTTTGTGCTGAGGAAATAGATATACACACTTGTAAAGGTCAAACACTTAAAGGAACAGTAGGTACTAGCAATCCAAGTGTCTCACAGTAAATGACTATTGTATATGACACAACTGAAGGAAAGAGCTATGCAACATGATCAGAGTTTAAAGAGGTGGTAAAAGAAACCCAAAGTATTCATAGGGAAATGCATCAGTGATGGAGACCACCGCTCTGAGCAGAACTGAATATTAACCAAGTGGCTTTCCATGTTTACGTGTGAGTCACTGGCCTCCACTGAGGCCTGTAATGGTGGCTGAAGACATGAGGCCTCAAAGGACAAGACAAGGCCACAGCTGAGGACTTTTGGCTCCAACCCCAATGAGCTAAAAGGAGACTGTAGCTGCAGGCATCTCACTCCTACAGTAAAGGGCTTCCTGGAGATAATATAGTTCTCCTAAATTAATATAAGTATTACCTGGGGAATTTCGTAAAGGGTTTCCCAAGTCCTGCCCGGAGTCCTACATTTTCTTGAGCATCCCCCTCCTTTATTTGAAAACCTAATAAATATGGGCAACCAAGGGACATCTGGGTCTGAACCAAGAGAATCTTAAATATTGTAAGAAAACTGGACCCACCTGGAGCCCTATAATCATTTAAATTGTCTCACTTATTTAAGCCTTTGCTGTCTACTCATTTGAGAGATTGCAGGCCTGATCAGCCTACAATAATTAGGATTATTAACCCAATACATCAAGTACCTGATTCAAGAAAAAAAGCTTATTTAATAACAACAAGAAATAATATACATAGTATAGTACACCAAATATATGTGTACACATAATAATGTATGATGTATACATACATGTGTGTATAATATATACAGGTATATGTATAATATATATAGTCCACCAAAAAATGTATACACCAGAAAAAGAAAAACTTATGTAAATATTTTAATACTAAATTTATTGAGACATCATGAGATTAAAACAAGTTACCTTTGGTCTCTACAATTACAAGAGATGCTTAAAATGGTGGCCATTGGCTTCCAGACATTTGTCAGTACAGTGAACTGCTGAAGTGTGTATACTTATTTTAGCCTATATAGATAGATGATAGATGATGGATAGATAGATAGATATAGATATAGATAGATAGATGATAGATATGGAACTGGCAAATGTTTGTTTGTGTGTGTTGAGCTCAATGCATTTCATTAGAGAGGGGAAAATGAAAATCACAAATAGATAGACAGGGTAGGAATAGAACTGCCTATTTTGTATACAAAGTACCTAGAGGGAAAATCCAAAATGGATTCATGGAAAAACGGAGACAGAACCAAGATTAAGAGCATCACTGAAAAAAATATACAGGTGACTGGAAAAGTCAGAGAGACTTAGTCAGAGCTAGGCTTGTATAAAGGCAGGGCAAAGGTAGGAACTGAAAAGGAGAAGGAAAAAGATGGAAGAAGAGACTAAGTCTCTGGTGGAGCTGAGGCGGTCCTTGAGTGGGTGTGCTGTTTTCTATGCTCCCTTGAATGCTCCGCAGAGCTCACAGACTATCAACTGCAGTTCATAGACTGCTGTTTCCTTATTTCTCTTCAGTGTCTTGTCAATCTAAGATCTTCAATGAATAGAAGAAGAGAGTCAGAAGGGATTAGGCCTATTAGCATGGTGGAGAAGCCCATTATGATATCAGTTATTCGTGTCTTCCTGTGTACATGCAGGAAAAATTCTTCCTTATCTCTCCTCAACACACACACACACACACACACACACACACGCGTGCGCACTTGTCCTCAGACTCTAACTGCTTTCTACAGGTTTTTGGAGCCAAATGCAAAACAGTGGGGCTCCTAGAGGGATAGGGTGATGCTGAGTGAATAATGTAAAGAGAAAGGAAGAGAAAGATGGGCTGCATCATCAAATGAGAAGATATCTGAAAAGTTCCACCTTTTCCTAAGTGGACACGGATCCAAGTGTACAGGCTGGGAGTCTGGGGGAGAAAGGGGATGATTTCCAAGTTTCCTCTCAGGAATTGTACCAGCAGCATGGAAACAAAGTCCATGACAGGCTTGCAACATAGAAAGCCCCCAGGGAACTGGCAAAGGTAACAGAGCGGGCAGTGTGGTCAGTGTCAAAAGCGCTGGCATTTGGTGATGATGAAAGCGGTAATCTGTGAGGTGAAACTGAATATAGATGAAAGAAATGGGGCTAAAGAAAAAGGTTGATGTTGTAAAAATGGGTAAAAATCAATACGAAGGTTGCCTCAATAATAAAACTAGACCCAGCAACATGAATGTAGAAAAGTCAGTGGAATGATATATACACAGGAGGTGACAAAGGAGAGGCAGGAAAGATGAGGCACAATGGAAACTATGCAGGGAAATTGTGCAGAGATGAGAAAAGATGTGCAGGAGCCGCAGCGTTAAGGGAACGGCTGGAGACGTTGCTGGATCCGAGATAGAGATGAAACAAAAGCAACTTGGTGCAAGCTGTGGCTCACAGTAAGGGTGAGTTTTCACAGGAAAATGTTCTCAGGCATTTAAGTGGCCCCCGTCACTCACTCAGATTACAGGAAACCCCACCCAAGCATTTCATCCACTCCCATGGCTTCAACCTCCATCCACAACCGAATGGTTCCTAGAGGATATCTCCAGCCAGCTGGCCTGCACACTTTCAGGGGGTGGCCTCTGTCCGCGGTCCTGAAAATCTTGTGTGCCGCTGGAATGTCTCTTGAGACCTTCAAACTCCAGATTTAATGCTCCTAAAAGTGCATGTATCATTTTCCCCCTAAAACTAGTCTCCAGTGTTCCCTCTTTCTAAAACACACTATTAGCTAGCGCTTCCTTGCAAGCGGGAATTCTCAGCATCTTCTATAAAGGGAAAGGACGTATACACAGAGAGGAATGAGAAAAGAGATTCCTGAGGAAGAGCCACTCTTTGACGTAGGAGTGGGGAGGAGGGAATCACTACTGTTGGGAGGAAAAAAGATCTTTAGATGGAAGGGAGCATAAATGAACGTTTTGTACAAATCACAATTTAGGAGCAGAACCACAAGGACCTGGAAATAAATGTTCCTGTGTCATGTGCCCCTCAGAATGTGTGCCAGGAGGCCAAGAAGCAAGGATGGAGAATGGGCACACATCTCACATAAGGGGTAAGGTACTCAAAGATCTTGGGGGTAGAGGAGACCCAGAAATGCCACAGATGCTGGGCATTACTGTGGCAGGTGCTCAGAGGTCAAGGAGAACATCAGGCAGACTCTGGCTCACCAACAGGAAATAGGCCCTCAGGCACCAGGCTACAGGATATTAAGAATCTGAAATCAGACTTCTCACTTCTTACTTTACTCGACTGTGAGAACACGGTGATCAGGAACAACTCCAGTCCAGAAGCCTGTTCTCTGTATTTGCTTAGCCCACCCCTTTTGGGAACTGCAGAGAAAAGGAGCTGGTTGGAAAGTTATGATGAACAAGACTGGCTCTGTTGGTTACAAATGGATGCTGTGGTACAAACACACAAAATGGCAGTGTCTTATTCATTATATCAGCACAACAATACCAAAGGGTTGGATTTATATGATTTCTGTCCTTCCCTGTGGAACAAACAAGGCCATATTCTTCTGCTGGTAGATTTGGCAGATAGCAGTGTCACTTTGTCACAACCTTAGAAAGGCCTTGAAATACAAGTGGTCCTGGTACCTGTCAAGAAAAATACCCCAGATAACCATTCTTAACTAAAAATTAAGTATGTCCTCCAACACATAAGTGATTTACACAGTGATCTTCTATGAAGTTTTACAAATGTCTTCTTTAATCTTCATTAAAAAAATTTAAAACCTGAACAAGGTAACTGTTGCTATTGCTGTTACATAAAGGAGAAAATTGATCCGCATGAGTAATTAAGAGATTTCCCAAAGTCTTAAAGAACTAAAGGGAGATCTTAGGCACCAATCTGTACCTGTCAGTTTTCAGAAGGAAGTTATAGAAATGATACTATGACAGTATTTGTAACTTTAATTTATAAGTTACAGTTCTCTAATCACCACCTGTTACTCTGTAGATGCTGTGGATGTGGGAAATGATTCTACTTTGGGAAAAGGCATTGGGAAGAGAAGTAAGAACTAATAAGAATTTGTTTGAATTTGATATTGCAAGTGAACTGTGTTTAATGCTAAGATCTATTATTGCTATTTTCTACACCTTTTTATGACAAAAATGAATACCTTGTAAAGTAACAACTTATTTCTTTCAAAATGCTTATACCTTTATGTTTTTTATCCTGATTTTAAAATTTGTTTCCTATAGTCATTGATCTATCAAGAATATATCGTTAAAAAAAAAAAAAAGAATATATCGTTCATGTGTAAATATACTTTGGGATACAGTTTTATTTATTTAAATAAGGTAATTATATATAATATATATATTTAAATAAGGTAATTATATCTATTATATATATGTGCTTTCCTCATATGTATATTTAAATTATTAAACTAGTATATTGTAGTGAAACAAGGAACACATTTAACTCCTTTAGTTGAATTATTAAAAATATTATTTCAGGGCTGTTTAACATCATTTTCATTTTCATTGTGGCAACAACTTTTCTTCTGTTTTTGGTCATTTGTTTTTCTTCTTCCTAGAAGTCTTTGCTCTAGGGTGATGTTAGTATTGCCCGTTAAAGCGTTCATCTCTTTCTGTCTGTGCTGAATGGCTGTAGAGAGCCTCTCATGGTGTACATATTAAATCTGGGGCATGCATGTTGCCAATAGTTTGTATGCTAGAGAATCCTTTGCCTTAAAGAAATTTTAAATTTTTCAGTATTCAAATTTGGCAGGCATTGTCTCAGTGGTTCCTGCGTTTCTTATCATATTTAGAGGAGCTATTTGTACCTCAAGCCTTAAAAAATACTGTTCTGTATTTGATCACAGAATGTTTGTGAAGTCCCTGGTCACTTTAAACCTTTACACCTACCATCCACATGGGATTTCCCTGTTTTTGTATATATGAGATGGAAATTTAAACAATATTGCCTATGATACTGCGTTATGATTTTAGTCACCACCTGGATCATGCAGGGACTTTACCTATTCTTTTATTAGCTTTTCTTTTGCGATTGAAGGAACTAACAAAGAGAAAGGGAGGTTCAGAGTTGGAATAACCCTGCTGGGGATGAATTTTAGGATAAGTTCAAGAAGCTCTCTCCCCACCCTCTTCACAAGTTCTGTTTTGTTTTCTTTTTTTGGTTTTTCTCCGGTACCAGGAACCGAACTCACGACCTTGCGCTTGCCAGGCAGGCGCTTTGCCGCTGAGCTAAATCCCCAGCCCCCCTCTTCACAAGTTCTATGGAACCTCTGATCCTAAATCCATTGAATTGGCGTATTAATTGGGGATCAGTAGAGATGTTTACTCATTTATTTGTGTTTCATCGAGTATTCTCCCACTGGGAATTTTCATTGCATAACTCATGCACTTTTTGAATAGTTTTCTATGTTGTGTAAATCCATGCGTTGCTATGAACATATTCTTTTCTACTACATAGTAACTGGAGTGAGTTTAAATGAGACAAAACTCTCAACATTTTTATTTAAACAGGAAATATCTGATCATTTTATTACCTAATTATATGTGAGGGAATCAGCATGCTACTGATTTAATATAAAATCTGATGAGCATTTCTACAGTTTAGGAACCCAAGTGTAGCTTAAAATACGAAGGCCAAAAATTAAGTGAGACAGTGAGCCAGAATTACAAGTTTCCTTGGAAATCAGTTGCTTAAGAAGTGGCAATCATTTCTAATTTGGGAAAGTATTACAAGATCACCTTCAAATAACTCTTCCAATGATAAATTTAGAGAATAGAAAAAATTATTAATGATTATGAATAGACACATCTCTGTATTTTACTACAGAATAAGACTGAGCTTTTTACAAAATTTCCCAGTCTAACACTTCATCAAATCAGACTCTTCTGATTAGTTTTACAGTGCAGAATGCTCTTTCTTCTTCCACAGTGTGTTACAGAGACTTTCCCTTCGTCTCTTTCTGTGATTCCTTTGTTAGGGAGACCGAGCATTTTTAAAATCTAGTCCCTGGAATTCCATTAGTTAACTTTCTAAGGAAAGCAGACTCATAGAGCCCAACTTTATTGGCAAAAATAGAGAAAGACCTGAAAAGGATTTAATCTAAAACTGGTAAAACAGAATGTATATAGATTTTTTTCTACTATAGCACCCCATCCTTTTGCTGTCCTCTGAACCAGTTGGAGACCCCTTAACTTTTTATTCTCCTATTTTCTTCCTTGGCTTCACCTAAAAACAAAATGTGAACAATTATTTCAATACTTAAGTGAGGGTGCTTATAATATCTTTGGAAAGACTACTCCATTATGATACTTTACAATCATTCCTGCTACTTCTTGGCTATTCCTAGCCTCATTAAAATACTTTTACTTTTTTTTTCTTTTTTCTCCAAATACTGATGACCTTTCTTTCTATACCTCCCACTTACCAGACCTCATCCTTAGGGGCCTCAACACACTTCCCTTCTTATTGATTAACCTACTCATTCCCCACTGCCAACCCTCGCACAACTTTTTTCCATATAAATCAGACCACATCTACACTAAAGATGGCTGACAGCTGTTCTTCCTTCAAGTTATGTGTTTGGGGTAAGGATATACAAAGGGGCATACTGGAGTCCATCTTACTGTCCATTATTACTGGAATAAGATATCATTTAAGGGAATGGAAGGAAGATAGATAAATAGATAGATAGATATGGAATTTCTTCTGGGTTTTCTAGCCTGATTTATTGTTTTATCTATTCTGCATCAATACATATCAAGTATTGGTACATATTAAGCATGATAATTTTATAGTATTATCTCAATCACTTTTCTTTTTCAAATTTGTTTCTGCAATTATGGCCATTTTCCCATTCTTGTGAATTTTAATATTTTGTCAACCTGTGAAAATCTTGTTAGATTTTTATTAAAATTGAGTAGAATAAACTGGAAGAGAACTGACAACCTCTAAAATACTGAGTGTTCCTATTCATGAACATGAGATATCTCACATTTATTGTTTCCTCTTTTAGCTACTTCATTTTTTATTTATTTGACAAAAATGTATTTCCTAAACAGCTCAGTAAGGATAAAGAAGTAGACAAAATTTCATCAAGCTTATATGCTACTAGGAGTTTACATTCATGAAGAGTTTTATTTTATTTTGCTTTTTGTAGTGCTGAGGCCCTCATAAATGTAAGGCAAATGCTCTACTACTGAGCTACACTCCCAGCCCAACACATAATATTCTAGAAAGTGACAATATTAAAAAAAGATTTAAAAAGTAGTGCAGGTATAGAGTGATGGAAGTGTTCCATTTTATGTATGATGATCAAGGAGAGACTCACTAACTATATGTAAGAAAAGACCCAAATGAGATATGGGACTAAGGTGTGGCACTGAGGCAGAGACAACTTCCACTGCAGAGGCCTGAGGGAGGACCACGCTTGGTCATTTTGGGAGTGACAAGCAGGCTACTAGCTGCAGAAATAAAGGTTGTGTGGAAGGTGGTTTGTCGGGGTCATGTAGAGCTCACAGACCGTAATGAAGACTTTGGATTCTTGCCTCACATCATTTGAGCTGGGAGGTGATATGATCTAGATTCAGTTTTTAAAGGTATGCTCTGGAATCCACCCTAGGAGGACATGAGTGAGAATGTAAGAAGGAGGCTGTTATAATGGTCCAGGCAGGGTGATTGCATATTGGACTAAGCCAGTAGTAATGGAGGTATTCAGAAGTGGGTAGGTTATAAAAATACGTGTGTGCTGTGTGCGTGTGTGTTTGTACACCTATGCAACCCACTCTCACTATTCCCAGTAGTCATATTCTATAAAGTCACCATGAGCACAGATTTAGCAAGTATCGGACCACTGCTTCTAGGGGAGACTTCTATGTTTTCTTTCTTTAGCCATATTCATGTAGTTTTTTAAGTTTTCCAAATAAGCACAAAGAACATTTCTCATTTTCTCCTTCAACTGTACCATGTTTCATTGTATGAATGGACCATAATTTATTTATACAATTCTCTTGAATATATTGGTAGCACACAAATGTCTCAGTGAATGAATATGTGCCTATATCACTATGGTGTGTTCAAGTGTCACTGTAGGAAAAATTCTGAGATGTAGGATTATGAAATAAAAAGAATACTGAGGATGCATTTATAATCTTGACATATGTTGCCATAGTACTGTTTCTTTGAGTATGCTGCCAAATTTGCCAGTTTGATAAACAAAGAAATGGCATTTGAATGTTGCCTGAATTGATTTGCATTCAGTCATTATATGAGTGAGGTTGAGTGGTTTTTTATATATGTAATATACATTTGTGTTTTTATGAAGTGTCAGTTTATTTCCTTTGGCTCATTTTTCTGTTGTTATTGGTCTTATAAATTTCTGCTAATTTTCTAGAGTAGGATAATTAACCTTTGTAAGACAGTTAAAATTTTCTTCATTTAATATTTGCCTCTTTGCTTAGAATGATTTCTGGGTATGGTATATTTATATATAATAGGTATATAGATTTTTTTACATAATTCAAATTTATCAGTCTTTTGGGGATTTTTGGCTTTTGGATGGCAGTTTGTAGGACATAGCCTACTCAAAGTTTATATTATATGATAATTTTCCATTTTTCTATATTATATGTTTCATATTTCACATTAAAATCTTTGATCCATTTAGAATCTACCACAGTTCACCCATTGTGCAAAGACCGAATTTACTTTTCTCTTCTTTCTGTCATTTGATTTGTCATACTGTACTTTTTTAACTTTTCTGGAGCAAATGTTTATTTAATGCAGTTGGTACTACTTTTTACTGATTATTTAAGGCTCTTCTGTGTGTTTGTGGGCCCTGTATTACAATTCACATCAACCTTGTTAACTATATTATTTGGCTCTTCTTGTGCCTCCTCTGCTTTTTCCACTGATCTCTCATGGGCTGAAGAAAACAAAAACAAAGTTCTTCTAATAGCTGTTTCTGCTTCATATAGTGTCTCTGATAATTTCCCCTTGCTTAAAACTTTTTGGCCTGAATTACACTTTCTTTGGTATTCAGGTCAAGACCACTGGTTTCTTATTGAGATATGCTGAATAATTTTTTGCCTATATCTTTGAGTGTTTTTAAAATATATTTTAAATGAGTCACCTGTTTATAATGAAAAGTTGGTATGAACCCAATCTCAACATTTTCTTTTTGAATGATTTAAGCACATTTACCCTTATTGATAAGACCAAGGTGTTTGATCTTGCTTTAGTCACATTGATTTCTTTTATGTATTCTAGAATTTGGGGTTTTTAAAATGCCAACACTCTACATTCTCTCTTCTATGCATTTTTTGTGTGCACGTGAGAACTACTGCTACTTAGAAAGGTTTACATTTTAGTTCCAGTGTTTTATACTGACAAAGGGCTACATAGCTGAAATTATCCTTTTCCACTTTCTTTATGGCTAACTCTGGCATGTGACAAAGTTCTGGCTGGTGGTATATGAGCAGAAGAAATGTGAGCCACTCTGGCTCTTTCCTGTGAAAGCAGTGGTGTAGCTAGAGTCTGTGCCACTAGGGGGTGGTCCTTCAATTTGCTGCCCTCCACCATATCAAAATATGTTAACCTATTTAAATGCAAAATTAGAATGACATCTAGAGGAAAACATTCGTATTTTAATGTACTCTAATCTTGGCCTTGTTAAAGTGGAGTAAATTGTTACAATAATTTTCCTTTTGGCCAATAACAGCACCTAAAATATGTGCTGCCCAAGGTGGGGGAGTGCTCCCTGCACCTCCACCCCCGCTCCAGCCCCACCCCCACCCTGAGCCACTGTTTGAAAGGCATAAAGGGCCAAGCCCTTCCCATTCCTACATTTGCGATGGCAGGAGCCTATGCGGCCATTATCTAAGGAAGTGTGTGTTTCTGTTCTAGTCATTACTCTTAGAATTAGCTTTCTTAGAATTCCTCTAAAAGTAAAGGTAGAAATTATACTATCTTTGAGATACCAGCAGTTAGTTTCCCACCCAGATTTATAAAATCACTGTGTGTTCACTGTTTTTATCCCCTATCCTATCCAATTTTAAACCATTATATTAACATTTTTCAGTTATTGAAAATGCTTCACAGTTACTCTTGGATTGGTCAAAATAATACCCTGTGACTCCAAGCTCTAAAATGCATAAAGAATTAGCTGTCCCACCTATAATTCTTCCTTTCCTACACGTTGCTGCTGCTGCTGCTGCTGCTGCTGCTGCTGCTGCTGCTGCTGCTGTTGTTGTACCATTTCTAGATTATCAAATGAAAACATTCTCCTCCTAAATTTGGCTTCATTCTTCCAACAGGTTTATTTTTCTTCTATTTACTTCTTAATTTCTTGTCGTTAGAAACAGAGACCATAGCTTTAGCTTTCCAAGACAGGCCTCTGAATTCCAAAAAGCACACTACGGAGTACTGGGATCTACCATTGCTTAAGCTCCTTTCTTCTGCTGTCAGCTTCTGCCTGATTTCAGTGCTTTTTCAATTTCCTCACTTGTGAGTGGGAAAATCTCATGCAAATACGTAAAGGTAGCACGTAAATAATTGGCATTGTGTGAATGTGGGGTTTGTGTGGTTATTTTTCCATGTGATGATAACCCAGACAAGATGTTTCCAGCTAGGGATGAAGGCCTACGAAAGTGAAGTAGAATGAAAACTTAACAAAATACTAGAAGACTTAAAAATAAAATCCTAGAAGGCTATTAAAATATAAAAGCTTGTAAATACAAAAGCTTGTAATTTATAATTTTATAGGAATATTTTCTTTTTCTGTTTGAAGGGGAAAAGAAAAGACATACATGTAAAATAGAGCCTCTCCAAAAACGTAAGAAGAAAGGTGAAGATTTATTCTGTTTAGCTTCCCGTAGTCCTGATCTTCTGCCAGGTACCACAATGCCACAGCTCCAACATCTCCTATGGGCCATGAAACTTCCAAACTAATGGATTATGTTGTGCATCATGTAACAAGGAGATCCAAAAACGCAGGCTTAAACCAAACAATTTTCATCTCTTTCACATAATAGTGCAGATGTAATAGGAAGACTCTGGCTTCCCTGACATGTGGTTGCCATTTCTGGGTCCAATAATGCTGATCTGCTTGTCATGGTCTCCCAACCAGTGGGAGTGGGAGAAATGAACAGAAGAATCAGCCATTCGTATCTTCAGCAGAAATATTCTGCTGCCATTCCAGTGGTCACACTTAGTCACATGGCCAGAGACTAAGAAATACTATTTCTGGCCAAACTCAGATTTATTAATTTGTGAAGAAGGGAGTGGCTTGAGGATAAGTGACTGTGAGAACGGTGGGAAATAGGTGAGTGCCATGAATTGGCCTAGGTAGGAGGCCTGAAATCACCCCTGCAATATATGCAGACAGAAGGATACGCAGAAAAGGTAATCTGCATAACACAATTGAGGTAGTATCTAATGTTTTGGGGTCAGTGCTTCAGTGCTGATGTGTAATCTTTTATTGCCTGGGATAATGATGTGTAATCTTTTTTTGCCTGGTAATCTTTTATTGCCATATCCTCTTACCTCAAGGCTCGATCCCAGCCAACACCACGGAGCATGGCTCTCCATCGCATCTGGCTCACACATGCTTTTTTTGGAGCTACAGAGGCAGGGAAACACGGCCCGGTCGCCTTGTTTCAAAGACTACACCTTAGCACCTCAGCTGGACCAACTTGCACTGCTGAAAGCCAATTGAAGGGATAAGGAAAAGTCCTAGCCAGCTCTGTACACATCAGTATTGCAAATAGGGCCCAGTTTAGCCAAAATGTAGATAATTGCTCTTCTTTCAAGGAGAGTCATCCAGGTGGTCCTCCACAGAAGTGGAGTCCTGCTCCCGCATCCCATCTGAGGATGGGAAGCACGCAGCTATTTAAACAAACTCAACCAGAGCGCACACCACACAGAGTTTGTGCGCAGGAGGAGGAAGGTGCGCGATACAGCGTCCAATCTCTGTGTCAGCTTCTGCAGCTCTCCATTTCTCTTGCATTCTGCCTTTTCTTCCTCTTTGTCTCTCTTTTTTTCTTCTCTCTCCTGTTCTGCTTCTGTTTCTCTTAGACACTTTATTTCTTTTGTTTATTTTTTTCACATCAGATGAAATACCTCTAGAATGTTTATGTGGCACTGTAGAGATGGCAGGGCTTTTTCTTCTAGAGTTAAAGCATTTGGGGATTTGTTTGTTTGTTCTTTTGTTTGTTTCCATTGCTTTTGATTATTTCTGTTTGCTTGCAAGGCTACAGGCTTCATACTTCCCTTACATATTGGGCTCTTGAAAGGTTACGGTGCATTAAAATGTTTAAAGCACTATTGTATACACTGTGACTTTTTAGCAGCATCTGTTTTTATATTTTCTATTGTCTTAGGGAGGAAGAGAGGCAGGAGTAGAAGTCTCTCAACTCTGAGAACTGGAACCCCAAGGAAAAGAGGCTGGCCAAAAGGTTAAAAAAAGTTTTTGATAAACATCTTTATTTTCATGCTTTATTTTAACTGTTAGGAACAACCATGGAAAAATACATCAGATTTAAGGAATTTCCAAAATATTTCAGGGGAAGAAACAAAATAACACAACAGCAACTTAGTGATGAAGCTGTGACCTGACCACAGGGCCAGGATCCTGTATTGCTGCCTCTGCTCAACTGATAACTTCTAACTCTGGAAAAGTGGAAGGGGGCACCCTAACTGTAGCTCACGAGTGAAATAGCCATCCCTTCTCTTGCCCACCACTCTGTGGTTATTGTGTGGATTTGGGTAAGTCCAGACCAGAGGTCAGCAAACTGTGGCCCGATGGGTAACCTACCTTCCAACTGTGTATAAATAAAGCTTTATTGGAACACATTTGCGTATCATCTATGGATGTTTTCAAGATATAATTGTGGAGCTGAGGAGGCATGCCAGAGAACATGTAACACAAAGCCTTGAACATTTACTATCTGGCCTTTTTTCAAAAAAAATTCCTGACTTTTAGGCATTTGATATTTTTTTAAATATTAGATGGGCTCTTAACAAGTTACCTCCAAATAGTGTTTTCTTAAGCACTACTTTTGCAATGCACTGTTATACAGGAGATATTAATAAGACTATTTTTCAATTTTTTCAGAGAGAAAAAGAATCAACAGTATGCCTTTGAGAAGAGGCAGAAAAAGAGGTAAAAAGAAGTGATTAACAAACTTTTAATAATTAAACATCTGAATTCTTATCCCATGCTCTGTGTGGTAAGTCAGTTTTCTCAATTAGCTTATGGAACCAAAAGCAAATAGTAGACTCTTCACAAACATTGATCAATTTTGACATGACAGACTGGCAATACCTTCTATTCCATTGACTAGTCAATCTGGGAGACCCCCCCCCCCCAGGGCACCTTGCCTGCACCAATCTTCACCATTCTGATAGTTAGCAGACCCTTATCTTGCCCATGTAGAAGGTCACAGACTGCATAGAAATGAACCCTTGGTGGCAATGTAAGACCTATGTTCTAATTGTTACAACTCCTTTAGCCATTAACTTTGGCTGGAATTTGCCTTTTTTGACTCAATTTCTTCATCTGTAGAGATGGAGGAGAAGGTGGTGGGTGAATTAGATGAAGCATTCTCGTAGGGCCACACAAGAGCTGATGGTCTGTGCATATCTGAAGCAACTCTGAAAAGACTGTGGAAGGCCCAGTCTCCTCACCTGAGAAAGAAGCCCATGCTTGATGTGTTGATGGATCCTCTAACCTTGGCTGGAAGAACAGGAGCAGCAGCTGCTACTGTGCAAGTTCACTTTAAGACCTTCAGTACAGGCCTCAGTGGAATCAAATCCCCAGTGCCCCTCATGTGGTATGCAGGGCTCCCTGAGAAATTTGGTCTCTACTGGAGCCATTGCCCTGAGCCACTGAGAAAGCTCAGGTGAAGAAATAAAGCAAAGCAGAGACTAAAGGAAAAGACAGACAACCTGGTTAGATGCCCACTGCCATCCTGCTCTGCTTCCTGAGTTGATGCCTAAAATGTGGAGACTTGACTAAAATTCAAAAGTCATTTTCTCCATCTACCTAACTTCAAAGCCATAATATGACCAGAACTGTCCCTTCAAAACATAAGGAGAAAGTCACTGTGCGGTAGGTAGTTGAGCCAACAAGTTGGGAGCTCAGATTTTTCCCACAAGGCTTTGTGCTGGAGGCGGGCATGAGGTGGAGGATGACATTGCCTATGGGCATCTCATCTGCCACTAAAGAAAGACTTTGAAATGTAACTAATTGGAGAAAATCCAATACATTTTGAGATTACAAAAGAGGGGCAAAGTTGGGCAGTTTTAGAGGAAGATGGAATAAAAAAAAAAAAAAAAAAAAAAAAAAAGCAGCTCAAAACACTTCCTTGCAGGTCCTAGAATTCCCAGAGAAGCACATGTGAATTTTCATGTTCCTGAACTTCTCGTGACCTGTGGTAATGCCAGGGGGACTCTGATTAAGGAGGTGTTTAAGCAAGGTGAGTTTCACAGTCCTCCGTGCCTTTCAGCAGTGAAGTACTCCTGTGAATAGAGTACTGCTGAGGCAGTAGACACTGGTGTTGGGGGTCGTTGCACCCAGCTCTGGGCTGGATGACTAACAGGGAGGATTTCTGGGACTCAAGGTATGGTCATAGCACCCCAGGCTTTATTAAAGTGAAAGAATGTGGAGCAAAGTCAGCAAAGGGAAAAGAAACACGGGCAAAGTCCAGAGGAAACCAAGAGTGCTGTCACACGGGAGTCACATGGGAGTCACGCAGAGTGCCCTTAAATTCCTAGCAACTGAATGGGACAGCACATGTGAAATGTTTTCCACCAGGGAAGCTGGCCTGAGCACAGGAGTCCAGGGTTTGGTCAGAGGTTAGTTTGATAGGCGCCTGTACCCAGCACACACCAGAATTCCAGGCACCCAGGAGGAAAGCAGGGGTTCTGCAGAAACCACATTGCTGACACAAACAGTTCAGGTACAGTGAGCTATTGCCATCTGTTCTGGGAACAGTGGAACTGCTCCCCAAATCCATATCCCTGCCCACAAGATGCCTGTCTATCACCCAATACAAGGGTAGGCACTTCAATACCTGGGTGGGAAATAGACATGTCTGAAAATATTCATCATCAAGCTTGACCAGCCCCCTCCGTACAACACCCATTCAGCCTTAAGATGAGTGGGAAGAGACCAGATTTAGAATTAGGAAAAAGAGGAGCTGCATTCAAGTTTCAGTTACACCAACAATGTATCTGTCCATTTTTCCTTACTATAATAAAACACCGAAGGCAGGATACTTCAAAAGAGGTTTGTTTACCTCACAGTTTTGGAGCCTGAATGCTGCAGATCCTTGTGTGTTTGGCCTTTGGTGAGATTCTAATGGCAAATGGCATCAAGGCAGGAGCCATGTATAGAAGGAAGACATAATACCACGAGACAGGAAGCCAGCGAATGACTGGGAGGCTGTGAGGACTACCTTAATCCTTCCCAAGGGCAGTGACCTCAAGGACCTCAGGATCTCCCAGTAGACTCCCCTCTTAAAGTACTACTATCCGTCACATCACTACATTGGGGACCAAGCTTCAACCCACAAACCCTTGGGAGAGCGACACACTGGAAATGTATCCAAAACATAGCACACAGGGTCACAGTCATTTGCAGCAAGTGATTAACTTTTCCCTCTAGTTAATTAACACTTCCATAATGACTGGTGACATCAAATTATCATCAGCCCAAAATATGAGAAATAATTGATTGTCTTTAGCTGGGGGAACCATGTCATATAAGACAAAGCAGATGTGGCAGTCATGACAGCTTTCACGTGGCAAGCAGGATTCACAAGAGCCTCGCAGAGGGAGGACAGGGATATTTGTCCTCGTCTGCCTCTCTCACACTCATGTGGGCTGCATCCCGGGCACAGAGAATAGAGGAGGAAGAATTCAGCTCATTATTTAGGGTCATTCATTTTGTCTCTTTCTAATACAGTGAAATACTTTTAAAAGGCAGTGTCAGTGGTAATTCCTCTCCTGATTGCATTCAAAGAAATACACACATAAGGCAGAGGAATCCCTTCTCTCCTTGCTTTTCAGACTGGGTGTGCAGACCCTGATGTCTGAGAGGAAGCACACGCTCTCTTGAGAAGGATCTCAGTCCAGTGAGCCTGGAGACAGGGGACAGGATGCCAAGAGGAGGAGTTTTCCCAGACAGGGCCTCAGCTTGTCTTGGTCTTACAGGAGTCTGGAAGAAGAGCATACGGGGTGAGGATGGAAGGTGGTTCACCCCCAGGGAGTTTGAAGTTGAAGGAAACTATGCACCATCTAAGAACTGGAAACTAAGTGTGCGCTGCCATGGATGGACTCTGAGAGAACTGATACAGGTATCAGAGGGACTTCTTGCTGAAAGAGAGAAGTCAAGTGGCTTCAAACAAGGGTTTTGCTATTCTGATTCACCAACATCAACCTTTAGCAGAATTTCTATGTCCAGAAAACTCATGATTCCCTTTGCTCAGACCAAACGCAGATGTTATTACTAACAGACCAAGGCGTCACCTCGGCTGGTTTATATTACAGCTCAGCCTCCTAAGTCAATTAATTCTTATTCTTTCGAAGACAGGGCAGAAAATTGTGGCCTTGACTCTGCCACTATTTAACTGCCAAATCTGGTGACATGGGAGTAACTTATATTTAAGGGGATTCCTTAAATTCTGTGAGCCAATGTTAAAAGTAGCACCATACAAACAAATAGCAGAAAATAACACATCAACATAAGTAGTCCCTGGGGTGCAGGCAATTCAACAATATTTATTTTGTTAAGCTATGTCAATTTCACTTTTTAACAGTTTTTTTTTAATATTTTTATGTTGCTAGGGATAGAACCCAGGGTCTCACATATGCTAGACAAGTGCTCTACACTCATCTACATCTTCAGATCCCTCAAATTTTCTCTGGGAAAAGAGTAATAAATTGCATTTTAAATTAACACCTTTTCTCCTCTTATCAACTCCTGATATGGGAAAATCAGGGACAGGTCTTTGTGGCAGGTGCAAGGCTCTTTCTGTCACCCTTAGATCACTCTAACAATGCAGAAACATTTCCCAAGCCTCACCTAAGGCCATGAGAGAGGAAAGCCTGTGGTCCCTGGCCAGGATAAGGCTGCACATTCACACGCAGACTGCAGTGCATCACTTCTGTAGGAAGAGGTGTAGGAGCTCCAGGATGGGAAGGTCACTTCCAGCTTAGAGGGTGAGGACAGCTTCACAGAGCAGTTTGCCCTGAGCTGGGTCTTACTGGAGAACAGCTCCAATGAGGCAAAATTTAGAACAGGACATTCCACGTACAGAGAAAGGGTGACATGGAAAGCTGCTCCTCAATGTGTCAAAAGGTGGCAATAAGACTCCTTTCATCTGCTGAGCTGTTTGTGGCGGTCCCAAGGCCACAAGAGCCTAAATGCTCCCACAAATCACTGCGAAGCATGGAAAATAACCTTCATGAGGACACCGTGACTCCGAGTTCACAGTGAGAAACCCAGGCTGAAATACCTGGAAAACAACCAGAAATACCAGGCTCACCAAACAAAAAGACCCACCATTATCACCAGTCTCTTCTCTCTTTCAGAAGGGAGCCCTACCAGAACCCCCAAGCAAAAAACCAAAGGTAATTATCCCATGACCTTTTGCCAGAGTCTCATCCATCACCTTGCTGATTCTCCTGCTCTGTAGCCATATAGTGTTTAAATTGACCATTCCTGAAAAAAATTTGATTTTATAATATGGTGCTGTTATAGTTGCTGCTTTCAAACATAACACAGCGTAAGAGGCCAAGACTTCTTCCAGCATGAAAACATGTGTGGTAGAGGTGAGAAGAAGCCTTAAAAATAGATCATAAGATAGAGCTGGCCTTGTATGCTTGATAGTAAAAGACCCAAACGCCATGCTCTCTTACCATTAAATATAAAAGGTGGGGCTGAAACTGGGAAGACAAGCACAGTTTTGAAATATACAAAACAATACACTTAATGACACCCATTTTGCAACCTCAGTTTAAACCCTGATTGTGTTTCCTTGTTTTTATCTTGGTTCTATCTTTAATAAAGTAACAACAGAGCACAGGTGTTCCTAGAAACAGCCTATGGGCACTCCAGATAACCTAATGTAAAATTCTCCTTGGAATGTACATCTCCCAGGAAAGCAAATAACAAAAAGCAGAATTTTTTCCTTTCCTTTCTATCTTTCCTGCACTAAACACACACACACACACACACACACACACACACACACACATACACACACACACACACACACAGAGCTGATCAAGGAAAATTTTTTCCTTGAGTCACACCTGAGATAATAGTGATTGCAGGCAGAAGAACCCCATAAGGCAGAGACCATCTCTGATGGGTTTGAATGTATCCACAAAGCTTCAGATGTTGAAATTTCATCCCTATTGTGAGGGTGTCAAGAGGATGGAAAAATCAGTGCAACTATAGTGTTAATAGGTGGGGCCTGTGAGGGGTGATTAGAACTAGGACATCTTGACTGGATATTAGTGGCTTTTTCTTTTAAATTATGATAAATTTATTTTTCAATTTTATGTGAAAATACAACCAAATTTCATAGCAAGATAAGAGAATACGGGTAGTTAATACAGTAATATCTTAAAAGTGGTTCCTCAGAATATAAGACATAGGGCTGGGGATATAGTTCAGAGGCACAAGTGCTGCCTGGCAAGCACAAGATCCTGAGTTTGATTCCTGGTACCAAAAAATATATATATAAGAATATAAGACATAGATATAAAAGATTCTCTCTTATAAGAGTGACAGACCAAAGGATACGCACTCATGTGTGCCCTCTCTGTCTGTCTATCTATCATCTCTGTCTCTCTTCCCATGTGTCACCTTAGGACTTTGCAAGGGAGAAGACCAGCATCAGAAAGGGTCCTTTAGCCTCCAGAACTGTCAGCTCAATGAACCTCTTTTCTATAGTCACCCATGCTCTGTTATTTTGTTATAGTTGCACAAACCTGACAAATATAGCTGCTGACATGGAAAATCTTTCCTTCATGGACAGAGCCTTTGGCCCCACCAGATGGGCTGTGCAGACTTGACTTCCACCCCTGATGCTGATTTCTCCTTATGTGGAAGTAAAGTAGAGGTTATGGACCAGTGATGGCCATGCTATGTGGATTCCAGAGAAGTTAGTGAGAATTTGCTGTTTTCCATGGCCTCTCTAAGGCTGAATATAAGACAGAACCTGTTAAAGGAGAGAGATATAAGAACTGCCATTTCCAAAATCCTTGACAGAGGTGACCTTTGGTACCTCTATCACATCACAAGGGCAGTCTTCACAGAGTTAGATTGTGGGGCTGCCTGCCCCATTGGCTTTATGACTAGAGATTCAATGACTGAGTTCCAAGTCCACTGGGTTTTCTGCAGAGACATTGTTTGATGCCTTCATTAAGACCGAACATGTCCAGCCAGCTCCCGAGAGGCACGGTGACTCAGTCTGGATAATCAACTGAGTCAGCCGTCTCTCATCCTTTCACCCAAGCCCCCTCCCTCTGTCCCTGTGGGATCAGAGCTCTACAGGTGGGACCACCTCGTTCCCCAGCCCCTTGGCCTCTGGTGCTTGGGTCGCTCTGTACCATGTGGCAGGTTCTACTGTTGGCAGATCTCCTGCTCATAGATTTCCCGTTAAACCTGCTGGTGGTAGCTAAGGTGGTCTAGAATAAATAGTAAGATATAAAAGTCCATGGTCACTTATGGGTGCTAAGGAGTCTTTTCCTGAGTGACAGCTGTGCTCCTTTGTCGTGCATTTGTGTATCCATTTAACAAAGAACTGCAAAGCAACTACTCAGTGCCTGGCTATGGGCGTGGCAACGCTGTGCCACAGAGGTCAACATGACAGACCCCAGGATCATATCCTCCCTGTCTTTCCTGGGAGGATAACTAATAGAGTGGGTGGGGCAAGCTCCCGGAATTCAGTACAACGTGGGAAGGTGCTTACAGGAAGAAGATAGCCTGGGACCTTAGACACCTTTATCTTGAGGAGTATGTTCGTAAGCAGGGCGATCTTCTCCCTTGCAAGGCTGGGCCTTGTGGCCACTTGGAGCCTTGGAGGATGAGTCCTCAGCCTGATTCCCACTGTTGTTCCTCCCAGTGGATGACACTTCCTAATTTAAAGAAAATTGCCTGGGGGCCCCTCCAAGTAGTTGAATCATTGGAGCTTCTCCAGCTCAGCCTGGAAAGGAGGGCCAGATTCCCTGGAAGGGCTCGCAAAGATTCACCTTGCACCTGAGGGCCAGGGATTGGAACTTGCATTGGGCCAAACTGATCGGCACATAGCTTAATAGTTTTTATTCTCAAATTAAGTATAAGGGCTCATAAAAGCAGATATAAAACAAAACAAAGAGAAGGCTATGACATAAATCCCTGAAAAAATCACTAAATGTGTGACTGATGAACTATCACATTCAATATTGTCACTCAGTCTTTGTCTCTTTCAGCAGAAAACACCAGCCTCTCACATGGATAGCCCAGTGGACCCTTATGTAAGTACTGACCCCCAGCTATAACCCACAGCAACAGCCCAGGTCTTTCCCTGAGCACATCACCTGAGCTCCCACTGCTCTTCGCTGGGGCAGTCTCACTCTCGGGTGGAGCATGGTGCTGTGTGTAACGAGCAGGGAACTCCAGCTGTGCCCCGAGCCAGTGCCTGGGTCCGGGGTTGGGCATCTCCACTGACAACACCCTTTCCGTCTGCTTCAGTGGAAACATTGCTGTTCTCATTTCCTCTCACAAGCAAGTGTGGGCGGCAGAGCTCTACGCCTCTGGGGTCTCTAGAGACAGCTTGAAGCAGGCAGAGCTAGCACTGGCCTGCAGATGATGGGCACCAGCAAATTTGAGAGGAAAACAGCCCTTTAAAGAAGGCAGAGGGGATGGAAAGGAAAAGCCCCCAACGTCTGTCCCTGGATATGGCGGTAGAGCTCAAGGTGGTCTTAAGCATCAGCCAGAAAGAACAAGTCAGGCCCTGCTGGCAAGTTCAAGGTGGGCGCCCTGTCCTTAACCCTGCAGAGAAATGCACAGAGCAGTGGAGCCTTCGTGACACCCCTGTGGCCAGTAGGAAGTGAGCCAGACCATCACCACTCAGCAAGCCACAGGACACTTTTCCTTGACCTGCGTGGCTGGGGCTGGATCATGTACCTCCCGTTCTGATCCCACAGGCCCTGTGCCGTCTCTGCTTACAGTATGGCCGCCCACTTTGGGGTCTTCCAAAATCACGGATGACCCCACCCGTCAGCTGCTAGATCATACCTCGATTCCCCTTATGGCAGTTGGGTGGACATTTTAGTCAGGGTCCACCATCTGCACAACTGTAGGGGGCATCTCTCACTATAGAGCACCGTGCAGCCGGACACAGGACACCCGCACAGATGGGGTAGGAAGGGGGCCGCCATGCCCTCTGGCTTCCTAGCAAACCCACTGCCCTTGCAAGATCTAGAGAACTCCACACTGCTCTCATTCCCCTGCGAGAGCAGAGACCAATGGTAACACACCAACGCTTTCATCTCTGGGTAGAACACCAACGCTTTCTTCTCTGTGTCTGCATACTTGTTTGATGATAGGCAGACATGGAAGTTTTTCTTGAAGCTCACAGCCAAGGCCTCCGTGGAGACCAAGAAAAAAAACAAAACTGGGTGTCCGCTCTCCTTTCCATGACCTCACTACTGCCAAACTCGTGGGCCGATGATGACTTCCTTAGGACTCCCCTGCGCTTGCTCAGGAGAACTTGGGCTCTCTACCCAGCTGTGCACTGCGCTGCAGGCACTGGGACACGCCAACTTGCCGGTCTCAGTGCCACCTGAGAAGCACAATTTTCCCAGCCTCCCTCAGTGGCTTTTCAACCCACCCGCAGTTGTGAGTGGCTGCGGACTGATGCTGCTCCTTCTGGTGCCCATCCAATCCATGCTGGCCGAGCCCCACCCTGTGGCCCTCACTCATCCTGTGAGGGGTGGAGCCTAAAATGTGCATTTCTAGTAAATGCAGGTTATGCTGTGCATTAGAACAATCTGGGGTCGTGTGAAACACTCCAGCGTCCCAGACCCAACCCAGACAGAATTGAAATATCTGGCGATAGGGCCCTGGATTTTTTTGTTGTTTTGTTTTGTTTTGCAGTGCTGAGGATTGAACCGAGAGCCTAATGCATGCTAGGCATGTCCTCTACCACTGAGCTGTACCCCTAGCTTTTTAAAAACCTCCTCAGGTAATTCTAAAAGTCTGTATAACAGGTTGAGAACCACTGCTAGCCAAAAGAACAAATTTCTTGCTACCATGATTGAAGAAGGGGCTTGGGGAAATAGCTGGGTGGTAAAGCATTTGCCTGGCATGTGCTAGGCCCTGGGTTCAATCCCCAGCACTTCAAATTTAATAATAATAATAATAACAGTAATAATAATGATAATAGTAATAATGATAATAATAAAGCGATATACCTCAAGTTTGCAGTCTTCTTAGACGATGGGACGCCATGTACAGGACTTGCTGTATCGTTCTTTCTTTCTTGGAGCTGACTCACAGTGTATCCAACAGGATGACGACCCAGAAATCTTGACTCAGCTTACCAGTACTTTTCAGCGTCTTTACATCTCCCTGTTGTGACAGAAAGGAAAGATGGTTATAAGACCCATGCTCGGGCCGGGGATGTAGCTCAGCGGTACAAGCACCTGCTTGGCACATGCAATGTCCTGAGTTCAATTCCTGGTACCAAAAAAAAAAAAAGACCCCGTGCTCAGGCAACCTGGGGAAGCCTGAGAGGATAAGCGCCTAAGAATGTCCCTAACAGGCCACTCTAGTTTTCCCACTGCAAGAGAGCCTCTGGGCCCAATTCATCTGGCAGCCTAGAATTTGTTCACAGGTATGACTTTTGTGTCTTTTTTGTACTGAATTTATAAATGAAGAGAGAAATTTCTAATTATAATTAAATTTACCTCATCTCATTGGGTCCAGAAATGATATTCCTGTTATGATTTTTAACCTAAATAGCAGGACATTGTGCTTTGGCTAACAATGTTATAAATGGGATCTCTGCACCCTTACCTTACAGAAGCTCTGAGAGAGGTGAGGTACTTAAAAATTAGGAGCAGCAGGGGTGGTGTAGGGTGGGATATCTAAGATGGGGATGGGGAGCCATTGGGGTTCCCCTGCAGGCTTGTGGATGGACAGTGGGTGGTTGTGGAGATGAGGAACATAAAAGGAGATTCCAGATAGGAAGATGCAGGCTGGGAATTGTGCCTGGAATGGGACAGTTCCCACTAGAGAGGATAAAAAACAGGTTTTGCACATGTCTGGGCTCAAGATGGGGCCAGGGGGAGGATCAAAAGGTCTGAGGATACGAGTGCTAAATGTGTTCATGGGAAAAGCCGTTCACTGAGAAAAGTGAAATGAACAAAGGATGTAGAGGCGAGCCCTGAGGAAGCCCCCCATTCCAACTGCAAAACCTGCAAGGAAAGTGTTAAGAGAATGGAGGGTCAAGGAAAGAAGCATGCAGTGTCTGTAGGAGGAGGAGGTGGGGCAGTGCTCCGTGTCTCCTCCCCACCCACCAGAGCCCCCACCCCCAGCACGGGTGGGCCTGTTCACGGTCCTTAGATTGTCACCCACGGAAGCGAGAGCCCCCTCACAGGCCGAGGAGCAGGTGGATATTTCATTGGCACGGACGCCCTGCCAGTGGAGGAAATATCTCCGCACCACACAGTGCCCCTCAAGCTGCTCTCCTTCTGCACCTATGGTGCCAGGAGAACAGTGAGAAGCCCATCCTTCCAGATGTTCATCCAGCACACAAGCCTCACACACAGGTGCTGCAGTGTGCAACAGTCCACCGTTATTGCTACATCGCGTGTTCTCAGAAAGGGAGGAGGGTGTAATTTCCCTTGCCCACCAGTGAGCTTCTTCCTCAGATTCTCATTGTTGCGTATACAGTTCTGCTGTGTGTGACGTATGTGACTCACTCTACCATGCCCACATGCAAACATTGTCAAGCATTTCACTTCACTAAATACAATGAAATCTGGCTAAAGTTCATATTTATACTGAGATTGGTTAGTACTGGTCAGTTTTCCGGGACCCTCCATTTTCCTTTTATAGGAAGACTCCAGCTCTTTCATGGGCCCAGAAAATGAAGATAAAGGCAATTAACTGAGTAGTTGCCATGATGATAGTCCTTTGAGTTTAGAGATGGCACCTCCATACCTACGTGCCAGATTGGATCAGTCATGGAAGACCTTCCCTTAGACTCCCAGGCCCAAAGAGCTGTGTCCTCCCTGACACTCTCCTGGCCATCTGTACATCGGTCTTTCCATCCCAGAGGCACTGTCAGGGGAACAGAAGCCCAGGCCCAAGAAGTGCTCCCCAGATCCTTTCTTCAAATCGTGGGGAATTTATGACGAAGACTGCAGGATACAGTGATATCTCAAGTTGTTCCATCCTATCAAATTCTCAGTAGATTGCCCCTTGAGGAATAACTGTAAATATGGACAAGTAGGAAAGACACAGAATTCGTGGCCCAGGTTTTCCAAACCAAATAATTCATTAGATTGTCTTCAACTCATCCTTTGGTTTGTTGCTGCTGCTACCTATTCTGTGTCAGAATCATTGTTTTCAAACTATTTTTTTTCTGTACAGGAGACACATAGCAACTGTCCCCTGAACTTTGTTGTGGTCCAGATGCCTTCTTCTAAAATAAATCTCCACTCACACTGCTCCTTAATATATTGAAGACAGAAATTAACAAGTGTCATCTTGGAACATGCAAGGCCAAATATTCTAGAATTCCAGCACGGTAACCTTTTAAATTCTCAGCGATCCAAATGATATCTACATCATCTTCCCTTCCAGCCAGAAAACTCAAACGAATGTGAAGTGTGTAGCCAAGGTGGACAGATATACTGCTGTGACACTTGTCCAAGATCCTACCATGAGAACTGCCACGTCCCACCTGTGGAAACCGACAGGTTAGTGAGACACTCCCTTCCCCACCTCCCCACTTACTTCTCCCTCCTGCCATCCATACATATCCTGCAGAGTTTCCGCCTCTAGTTGGGTCTTGATGCAGATGAAGCAGAACCCTTAACATCAAGCTCCAAAAGTATCATCCAGAGCAATCTAATGGTACTGATAGTAGCAGGTTATCAGGAAGCAAAGATTCTCCAAGCAGTTCTTAGGTGTAATAGTGAGGGGTGCTGTCCCATCTCCCCATCTTAGTTCCCAAACCTGTGTACTCCGATGGAGTGATAATGTCAGACACCGGTGGCTGAGTTTTGCATATACCACTTGCTGTGAGAACATCACAGTGTTGATAAAGCCAGCATGACAATGAGCCTTCAGAGGTCCATCTCACTGTCTGTCAAGTCGATTGACTTTGGGTGACAGGGTATGTGATAAGACTGTTGAATTCTGGGGCTGGGACCCTTCTGATGCACTTTTTTGGGCTGTAAATGTGTCTTTGGACAGAGGTGATGGGGTGTATGATGCCACTGATATTGATAAAAGGTCTGAGTGGTGTTGTAGATAGAATTACTGTAGCCAGGAGAGTGACCTACCAGGAAAGTGTCCTGTGAGGACAGAGCATTGCCCTTCCATGATGGGAAGAGTCTAACAGGATCCACCTGTTCCCAGGGCACTAGCTCAGAGGAGCAATGGAAATCTCTGCTTTTGACCAGTTGGGCAATCTGCAGAGGCAGAAAACAGATCACCTCTTTCTCCCTCATGTGTAGCTCCTATCTCTGTGTAATGGTATTTTTCGATGGGCCCTTGAGCAAGTGCTGGGTGGCCAAAGGGAGGCTGACAAGGCAGGAACAGCTCATTGTGTCCCCCTGATTGCTGAAAGTATCCCGGCACAGAGAAGCTGGCAGAGGAGACTAAATCTTGAGCTGTGAGATCTGACACCCTGTCTGTAGATTCCCTTCCGAAGAAGTTTCTGCATCCTAGATTCTAGATACAGAGCTGGCAGTGGCAGAGGGGAGAATGGCTATGGCTCATGCTCCATGCTTATTCAGTAAAGTTGAGAAATGAGGGTTGGTTTCCTGATTTTACTATGGATCCTGATTCCTATAGCTCCAACACTCCCATTCCGAAGGTATTAAATTCCAATACCTAACTGGGACCAACAGGATTCACACTCAAGCTCAAAGCGAGTCAGCTGGGAACCCTAAGTTTTAAGGGTAATGAGAGTCCACCCACTGCTGGGACATCTCACTCGGCAGATTACCACCCCATCACCACTATGATGGAAGCGATATCTTTGGCTATGGAGCCTAAATGGAGTTTCAGTGCTCGGGTCTACAAGAGAAAAATTGGATGTAAGATGGTAACCACATCATTCTTGAGCAGAGGGCCCTAGCAACTGTAGGAATCATGGCTGATTCACAGCCCCTGCCCTTGCTGACCATATGCCTAACCTCTCAGAGACCCATGGAGTTGCATCTTCTGCAAGACAAAAGCAATTCGGAAAAGGTGCCGAGAAGTCCAACCGTGTCATCAGGAATCTGAGGTTCTGATGAAGAAGATGGATGATGAGGAACAGCTGGTGAGTTGGTGCGAGCCTGAAGCTCCCTCTTATTGTTCACAAGGAGGAGCACAGACTTGCAGAGCTAGAGGAATGATGCCCAAAGACAAATCCTTTCTCCTGCTGTGCTTCCATCACATGACCTAGCACCAAAATCTGTATTCCAGAGTCTCCAATCCAGGGAAATTCCCACGCTCAAGGAGTCCACAGCTCCAGGAGTCACGTGTTCTATCTGGACTCGGCACTGACTTTTTCTCTTTAAGCTGCTTTGCACTTAAAATCTCCTCCTTCTTTTGCAGAAATGTGAGCTACTCCTCTTGAAAGTCTACCACTATGCAGAAAGTGCCTTCTCTTTTGCAACACAGGATTATGTAAGTAACAGCAACAAACCTTGGAATTTGCATTTGTCAAAATCGTAATCTAAATCCCAAGGGCACAAGTTGCCCTAAGTTTTGTTTTGTTGATGGCTGTATTTGTTCTGGCTGCTGTAACAAATTACCATAGACTGACTGTGTACAACAGAAATGTATTTCTCACAGTTCTGGAGACTGGAAGTGCAAGGCCAGGGTGGCAGCATGATGGGATTGTAATAAAGACATTCTTTCAGTGCAGACTGGCTGCCTCCTCTGTTTCCACTTAGGGGAGGTGGAGGGAGATCCCCAGAGTCTCAAAAAGGGCACTAATCCAACTCAGGAGGGGTCCATCTTCATGCCTAATGACCTCCCAACAGTCCACCTCCTAACGCTGTCATCTTGGGGTGCAGATTTCAGCATAGGAGTTGGAAGGAGTGAGGGTACAAAGATTCAGACCACAACAGTGGGAGTTTGGGGACAGCAGACTGGGAAACATGCCGACAGCCACCCCCCCCCTTGCTGTTCTCCTCAACAGACCAATGGGGCAACTGTAGGCCAACAGGAGCACATGCATTTAAACGAAATCAAGACCAAGCTGAGTGAGAAGAAGTACCTCCGAGTGAGGGAGTTTGTGCAGGACATGCATCTCATCTTTGAGAACCACACGGCACATTACAGAGTAAGTGGTTCTCCCCGCCTCCCCCTTCCTTTCAGTCACTTTACCCCGCACCTTCTTCCACCACGAAATGTTTCAGCTGCCGTCATCCTGTGGCAAAGCTGGTCAAGCGAAACTTCACAAAAGTATCTTAAAAGCCCTGTGGGGCAGGGAGGGAAAGTAACAACACCCGGAAGGTATCGTCGGAAAGGTGAGCCTAGGACCTCTCTTTTTACTCACTTCTGGACCATCCATCCGCACTCCTGAAGAGCAGCACACTGTCAATCTGCTCCCTGCCACTGGAAATGGAAGTGCATTTTAAAGGGAACTAGTGTTTCTCTTCTCTAAGGGGAGATACCAAATCCAGCTTCTCAAATTTCAAAATCTTAGAATTCTTCCCATGCTAATTTCCTACTGATCTATCAAAAAGCTAACAGGACTTCTCAGAGGGTGAATCTGTACTGTCACATGGCTGCAAATCATCCACGCTGTGTTTAAAAATCAATTAAAGAGAACTTCTTGAAAATTACATTGGTATCATTCTGATTAGGAATTAGACTGCAACATGCAGGTCAAACATCCCTAATCTGAAAATCTAAAACCCAAAATACTCCAAAATTTGAAACTTTCTGAGCACCAACCAGACTACTAAGTAGGAAATTCCATACCATAAGACTTTAAATGAAATTACTGATTATATTGTATAATATTACCTTCAGGATATCGGCATAAGGTTTATATGAAACATAAGTGAATTTTGTGTTTAAACTTGGGTCCTGCGCCTAAGATAATCTCATTATACATATGCAAATATTCCAAAATCTAAAAAATTCTGAAATTCAAAACACTTCTAATGCCAACCATTTTGAGTAGAGGATATTCAACCTGTAGTATGATTGTCTCGGTTACTTTTCTCTCATTGCTGAGACAAAATACCTGACACCAAAAATTAAGGAAGGAAGGGTTTATTTAGCTCACAGTTTGTGGAGGTTTCAGGCCATCATCAGCTGGCTCCAAAGCAGGGTGGCACATGGCACAGGAGCAACAGTTCAAGGCGGCAGAACACAGCAAAAGCAACAGAAGCAAAAAGAGGACAAGCAAGCCTCTTTTCCTCCCTTATATTGTATGCAGGCTGCCTGCCCACACCATCTCCGTGCCCTCCTCTTCCACAAACTCCGGATGTTTACAAAACAAGGACTCTGGCCCCGGGCTGAGTCACTTAGTTAAGCTTCTAAATTTCTCAATTCTCCAGTTGACACAGTGTATCAACCATGACAACTAGTTTCTCTGTCTTCCCCATAAAGAGAAATGAACTATTGGGGAGCATAAACTCCTCTGAACTGGAATAACTCTCACTTAATGTCTGGAATAGTTCCAATGAGACTCGAGATTACCTGACACGTTGGTAGTCTAGGCTTATTGAATAATGTCTGTAATTAGTTTTGCTTTTGCATTTGTCTTTCAGGACACAAATTTCAGCAGGCAGGGACTTAATGTAAAAGCAAGATTTGAGAAGAATTTCAAAAACATTTTTGGAGTCCAGGAAACAACACCAAACAATCGATGATCCACCAATACCCCTGCCTGTTCCTGGTCAGACAAGATCACGTTGCACTTCTTTTTCACATGTTTTTATGGTCCGTCCTGTTCATTTATTTTTTTTAAATAATGCTTAAAATTGTCTTATCAACTTCTCATATTAATTTGGAGTGAAAGTTGCAACTGAAACTATAAAATATTTCCAGAAAAGATCATATTGTGTGTTCTTTCACTGACGCAAATCCTGTATTAGGCAAGACAGTTAAGATGGTTATACAGCTAGTTGCTCTTAGCTCATCGAAAAGAAAGGTTTGTGCTAATATTGTTTGAAGCAGATATCATGCCTAAACCTTGTACTCTGAATAACTACTACAAAGACAACAATATGCAATGTATTAATTATTGTAACTCTCCTACTAACCTGTTTTCAAACTCTACTGCATAGTTATTTTTATTTTTTTCTCTTTAAAATAAAAACAATCCTGCATTAGGTTCCTCAGGAATGTTTTCTCTTCCCCCTACATGGGACTATATTTCTTTTATTTTTTTCTCACCCACAAGTACTTTAACATTTCTTTTTTTTTTTTTTTTTTTTTTGGTTTTTCTCCAGTACCAGGAACCGAACTCACGACCTTGCACTTGCCAGGCAGGCGCTTTTGCCGCTGAGCTAAATCCCCAGCCCCTACTTTAACATTTCCATGTGCTCTGAGAGTCACCTGTACTGTGTAGTCTGTGCCCTGTGGTGAGAGACTCCTCATTGTGTAGAATGGCAACCTGCAGGCTCAGCTTCGCCTGGAGCGGCTCCATTGTATACAGAGCAGTTTGCTCCATTTTGAGTGCAAAGAATGAGGCAGAATGACTTGGTCACTTGTTAGTACAAATAGAGACCTACCAGAGGTTGGACACACACACACATACACACACACAACAAAAAAGCACCCAGCCGCACAGTACAATCATAAGGCATAAACTAATGAATAAATTAAGCTTGATAATAATAAAATGACCATCTGTAGAATGATCACATTAAATCAGGGACACACGGGCACAGGAAACATCTAAGTTACAGCAGAGAAAATCAGGCCCCTATCAGACACTCCAGACCAACAAATAAGACAACCCCGTTATCTGGATCCTATATAGGGAAGGACACCCAACACTGGGTAAGCAGTGCCACGCTGACCGTCATCTCGGTGGACAGGCCCGCAACTTTGGTTCTCTGCGTCAGCTCAGTCTGCTTGCACCATGTTCCACCTGAACTGCCTGCACCGTGGCCTTTGAGCCAGCGCTCCGCTCCTCACAAGCTCTGCGCCTCCTGGGGTCTATAATCTGTGCACTCTCAGCCTCTGCTCGTGGTTCTTCCTCTTTGAATCCTACAGCCGCTGTTAACCCTTTCTAGCCTTTCTGTGACTTATGAATTAGTGTAGGAAAGGTGATGAGTGATTTGAGCATTGTAGACGTCAGTAGTGAAGACTGAAATAAAAGAACCTGTGATTGTCCAGCTCCTTGGTTACCTAGTGACCCTTGAGTACTCCACCAGACAAGGCTGGCAAAGTTGATGTAGTTCATGAATTTATTGTTATTCAATAAATTCTGGGTAGAAAAACACAAATGTGTCTGGTCTATGTTACTGGCATAGCTCACTCATAATATGATCTCTTTCCCGTTATTTTTTGTTACTATTTATTGCCTATTATAAAAAATAAAGAAGGAAGGGTAAAGCAAATATATATATAAAGATAGCTGACATAGCACAGTAAGATAGCACAATTACTACTAATTTCTCCTAGTTCATTAAAAAAAAAGTTTGTGCTAATATTGTTTGGACAAGTAAATGCCTATATCTTGTACTAAGTAACAACTTAAAGATAATATACAAGGGGGGCTGGGGATTTAGCTCAGCGGCAAAGCGCCTGCCTGGCAAGCGCAAGGTCG